TGCAATAGGAGAATGTAAAATGAGATCTGAGGAAGTCACTCCATCCCCTCCAAATGTCCCAGCTGTGCTACTTTTCAAGGAAAGGTTTGGGTACAGGGTGGAGGGTAGGAGAGTGGAGGGCAGGCGCAGCAATCTTCTAGCTGTAGTGGTAGAGCCTCCAGAAACACCATGTCCCGTCCCTTAACAGACTATCTGGGGTGACCCTTAGGGTTGGCAACAGGAACAATCCCTTCTTTATTCATCAGCAAGTTCTCTTGATCAATGCAAGGAGGATTGGAAGCCCATCCACTGTGAATGCAGTTCAGGGGCCTCATCTCACTAATGCCCAAATGCCTTCAGATGGGCACTCACCTTACAGGAGCCGAGGTCCTCAAGGGCCATGGGCACCCCAGATGATTTGTCAGCAATGGCATGTCTACCACTGACCACCGTGTGTGCATCAGTGGCCTCATCCCAGGCTGAAGAGTGTTGGCCAGGGATGCTGGCAGCACCTATGCTGGAGACCTCTGGATGCTTGTAGGTCAGGCTAACCTCTGGAAGAAGCCTGGGTGTTGAGGGGACCTTGCAGGGCTGTAGCAGAACATGTACCATCAGCACCCTAGGGCCACCACTCCCTAGCCCTTTCCCAAGTGCACTCACCAATACAGGACCAGACATCTGGGCCACAGGGGACCTGTTGCTCAGCAAAGATTTGGCAAAGACCACTGGATGAGGCAGGCACTGTGACACATGCCCTAGAAGATTACAACAGAGTGAAGTGACAGAATGGAGTAGCAAGGGGCCGGCAAAGGTACAAGGCAGAAGAGGTAGCTCCCCTCACCCATTCTATAGATACCACATAACAAACATTGCCATCAGTCTACCCTAGACCCTGCAGCTCTCCTCACAACTGAAAAGCCTGGGGATCAGATGCCATTTGCATAGACCTTAAATATGGTTCTAGAATCTCAGATGACCACCAGTTATGCCCATCTCTGCACTACCTCCAGGCTGCCCCAGGCACACACCAGTTAGTCTCCACACTCCTGAACCCCTTAGGATTCCCCAATCCTGTTCCCACCAAGCCCTATGCACCATGTAGTGCCACAAGCCTACCTGCCTCTAGAGGGGTACAGCTCTTTTCAACCTGCTCATACGGTGCTCTTGAGCCATAACTTGGAAACCTCATGGGTGGCAAACACAGGCAGAGGCAAAATCAGTATCTAGAGGCTGAAGGTCACTTGGCCCCTCACCACCAGAGGTTCAGAACCACTCACCGAACATGAATGTAATGGTCATGCCATCTCTCCCCTTTTGGCACTGGGAAGGCCATTTCTCGAGGCACAGGGTTGACAGGCAACTTTACACGCCGGGCCTCAGTGACAGTGACAGCTACAATGATCAGGGTTGTTCTAGATCAAGAGGAGTGTGTCCTATCCCTTCCCATCCCAGGCAAGATGCAATACCAAGCATCTGCCAGTGTATTGGTGGGCCACCAGTCCACCCCATTGCCTTTTCTAGAACTGGGGGCGTTGATGCATGGCTCTCATCTGCCAGAGGAGGGTCCCAGCCTTCTGATTAGGGTGGGACATGAAGTGTGGACCTTACCGGGGTCAAAGCACAGATCACTGGTGTAGAGGTTTCTGACTAGTAGACTGGCACAGAGCCTGATGCTCTTGAGGTGGCCATAGTGCCGGCTCAGGTAGAATATCAGAATGTCATGAAGGTCCAGCTGTAGGTAGGTCCAGCGGGCATTAGGAGGAGCTACACCTGCCAGGTTTGCAGGACAGGTGCAAGTTCAGCATCTACCATTTTCTTTCCCCATTTCCATAGTTGCAACCCTCTCAGCCCCAGACCCCAGCAGCTCTCGGGCCACACACAAGCCCAGATGGGCCTGTACCATTCCTTTCTAGGCCTTCACGCTCTCCTTCCTGAACCAGGTGTCACTACCTCTTCTGGGCGACTTAGTCTCGAAGACAAAGGGGAACTGAAGCCATGTAGCAGAGGACTTGAACTCCTTAAAGAGGTTGGAGAAAGACACACGGATGACCTGGCCATCCTGTGAGACAGAGTGAGGCCATTAGATGGAGATTACAGGAGAATAAGCATTAAACACACAGCCCTTCTTCTAATCTGAGCACCTCGGTGGACACGTCCAGGTGGATGACAAAGTGCTTGGTAGGCAGGGGCCGGAAAAGCACATACAGGTACCGCCCAGTCAGCCCCAGAGACTGAGTGCTAGTTCTAGGGAGCTGGATGTAGTTGCTGGCAGAGACAGACCCACGGATGCGATACACGGCGCTCCTCAGGACCTTATCCTAAAAAGAAAGAGTTGCTGCGAACAGCGCAAAGCTGGAGGATACAAAGAGTGCCCATCGGGAGATTTCTGAGGAACAGGAAGGCCCCGACCAGTACCGTCACCACGGCCACATCTCCCTCTTTGCTGGACCGTTTCCACTCATCCACCCTGAAGTGTCTGAATACGTTGAGGAAGGGGTGCTGCCAAGCTGCAGAAGGGACGCCGCCTGAGCACCGGTCTTGGGCAGCGCGCCGTGACCCTCCCCCTCCTCTTGCGGGCCGGGCTTCCGCGCGAGGAATAGTCAGTGATGCAGGGGGCGCCTCGGACCCGGTACACCCGGGACGCGAGACCCGACGACAGCGCTCCAGGCGCGCACAGCTACCTCCGGCCATGGCAGTACAGCTCGCGCTTCCCGCCTCAGCTGACGCCGTCCTACGCAAGACACGCATCACGGCGCCTAGCAACAGCCACCGGGCACCTTTGCGTCACTTCCGCCAAAGCAAAGCACGGAACTCCCATGGCTGTGTGACACCCGGTTGCCTAGCAGCCTCCTACACCCACTTCCCTACTCCAGGCTCTGGAGTTCCTCAGCCTCTATTGGCTCGCCCTGGGCACTCCACCGCTGTCACTTCCTGTTTGGGCCTCTGTGGCCACGCCCAGCCCTCTCCAGGCCATCTGTTTTAAGTAGGGATGGTCGCCAGCCCTCTCTGAGGCCTCCGTACTTGAGAGGCTGAACCTTTTTTCTCCGTACTTGAGAGGCTGAACCTTTTTTCTGTATGTGAGCAGGAGAGGTTATGACAAGTACTGTCCTTGTCCACGACCTACCCAGTCTGGGCCTCATCTATGCTTTCCAACCCTGTGGAAGCGCCTGATCAGCTCCCAGTTACTCTGGGTCTCTGCCTCAGGAAAACAAGTTACCAGTGCCCGCTGGGGCTAGGTTCCCAAACAACCACAGTCAGCACAGGTTCACCATATACCCAAAGACGCTTGAGACATCTTTTCCTAATATCCCCCAGCCAGGCCTACAAGCTTGAGTGAGGAGGCAGTACCTGCAGTCCAGGGCTAGGATCCCATTCCCGTTCAGTCCCTGGGTAAAGACTGGACGCTGCCTCTAAGTAGAGACATGCCCCGGTTAATCATGTCAAGGACCTGGCTAGGGAACCATCCCTAGTAGTTAGGGTTCACCTTACAATAAAGTGCACTTTTTTTTTTTTTTTAGAATTCCTGTTTCCTACTGCAGTCCCTCCCAACAAAGTCATTGGAAGTTTAGGCTGGGTCTGCCAGTCTGAGGCCTCACTGTAGGGGGTGATGGAATGACTTTTTTTTTTTTTTTTTTTTTTTTTCAGACACTGGCCAGGGATTAAGTATGTTTCTAAAAAGCAAGTAATGTATTGGGTTCCTTGTTCTTTTTCACCTTTTTTATTTGAGACAGAATCTATGTAGCCTTGGTTGTTCTAGAACTTGTTATATAGACTGGGCTGGTTTTGAACTCAGTGTCAGCCTATAGAATTCAAGGATTAAAGGCCTGGGCCACCTCCCTCCAGAGATGCTTGCAGCTAGGTGCCTGACCTCCTTATCTGCCTCATCTGCAACAGCAAGGCTTTTGTTTTTCCTTCTTCCTTCCAAGCAGATTAGATTTACAGCTTTCCTGCCCTGGGGTTTTTCTTTTAAAGACCAGTAAATTCTCAAACCCTTGTTTGAGTCTGTTCTTTGTCCTTGAGATTGTTGGTGTCCATTTAAGACAGGGTCTCTCTATGAAGTCCTGGCTGTCCTGGAACTTACTTCCTGGGACCAGGCTGGCTTCAAACTCAAATCCTGCCTGGTCACTTGTTTTTTGTTTTGTTTTGTTTTTGTTTTATTGAGACTTGGTTTCTCTGTAGCTTCAGAGCCTGTCTTGGAATTTGTTCTGTAGATCTGTAGACCAGGCTGGCCTCAAACTCACAGAGATCTACCTGCCTCTGCCTCCCAAGCATTGGGATTAAAGCCATGCACCACCACCGGCACTTTTTATTTCTTTAATAGCAGAGAAAATAAATGCACCCTTGCATCCCTTGCCAGCATCACCCCACTCTTGGGGTCTGACTTTGGTGTCAATTGCCAAGAAGAGGTAGTAGAGTAAAATGGAAGAGCTTGGTTCTGCATACTTCCACAGTGAGCTGGTCAAGGGCCTCATCACCCTAATTAAACCCAGCATGACAGGGCATGCCTTTAATCCCAGCACTCTGTGAGTTTCAGGCCAGCCATTTATCTCAAAAATAAAAACAAAGGAGATCTGGACAAAGCTTTAACTCCTGCTATTTACTCCAAGAGTAGAGAAGATGTGGTTACAAGGGGATGCTGCAACCCACTGGGGAGGCAGGAGGATCAAAAGTTCTAGGCTGACGTTGGACATTGGTGGCACATGCCTTTAGTCCCAGCACTAGGGAGGCAGAGGCAAGCAATCTCTGTGAGTTCAAGGCCAGCCTGGTCTACACAGAAAATTTCAGGTCAGCCATGATTAAATATTGAGACTCTTGCTTCAAAAAAGAGGAGCAAGTAATAGTGGTGAACAGAAGACTAGGGATGTAGGCCAGTAGTAGAACTTTTGCCTTGTATGCATGAGGTCCTGAGTTCAATTCTGAGTATCACAAAGGGATGGGGGAGTCTAGAGTCTGAGAAATAGAGGTGGACACGTGGACCCAACACACATCCCCAGGTTTCCCCAGTCATCGACACTCTAAAAGGCAGTTTCTCAACTTTATTAGCCTGGGCTCCTCCCTGCCAGCCCCAGGGGCTGGTCCCTGGGCACAGTGAGCAGGATTGAGGTTAGACAGGTTTGGCCTCTGGCTCTGGCAGCTTGGGACAGCCAAGCCAAGGGAACAACAGGTACAAAAGTCCAAATGTTGGCACTTCAGGTGTGGCCGGTACCCAGCCAGGCCACAAGGTGGACCAGCGCACCATGGTCCTCTTCGGGCAAAGGGTCCACTATGGCAGTGTTCCTTCCTGGACAGGGTTAGGAACAGTTGGTGATTTTAGCCAGGAACTGTTGTGCCCACCACTCATCCAGGTCAATAGGTACAAAGTCTGTGGGTAGAATAGATGCTGGGCAGTGATGATGCTTTCCAAGGATAGCACCTCTGCCCTTCAGCTGACCACAGCTTCTAACCTGGACTCCAAGTATAGCTCTCAATGGAAAATGGGGGAGTCTGGGCCAAAACTTTCCTTTCCAAGACCCTAGGGCTAGAATCTTGTGGAGAGGTCAAGGTCAGAGGACTCTTTAGGGATGCGGGGCACGGGGAGACTCACTCTGTAGCCGGGGATCAGGAGTGCTCTCCACATACTGCACAGGCCGTGGGCCACTCTCATCGGCAGGGCCGCCATCCAGTTGTCGCTCTACCTGCTGCCAGGCTGTAGGGAAGGACAGTTAGAATGAACCAGGCCCTGGTATCCCTCCCACCCCAGAATCTGGTAGCCACCTTGGACTCCAGCCCAGCTCAAGGAATGGAAATGACCAGGCAGAAAGCCAAAGAACAGTCTAGCCCTTGGGCTGCTAAGAGTCAGGCTATAGTGCGGAAGGACAGGACGGAGCCAGGTCCACACTACTGATATTCTGTGGCCTGAGTCACACCCCCTGGTCCCTTACTACCTTCGGACACAAATCGGACGTTCTCCTCGTGGGCCAATGTGTAGGTCTCTTGGGTTCCCTCGAGGGATGTGGGTGTGGTGAGGGGCCGCCTGCCATTCACTCGATTGAACACAAGCCTTGGCCCTGGACTGTGAGAGGTAGGAGAGAGATACAGTTGGCACAGCCAGATCCAAGAGCTATTATGAAGGGTTCAAGAGCAGCCTTAGTATGTACGCACTGCACCTGCACAGGCACAGACCCAAAGTAGATCGTTCCTAACCACTGAGCAGCTGCCCTTAGCTGCTATGGGACAAGGCCTCTCTGATGCAGACCCTGAGCTTTCTCCAGCTCAGCTCACACCTGTAGCCCCTGGGCCAGGGAAGGTTGAGTGACTGCAAGTCAGAAAGAGCCCCAGCTCTCTAACCAGACCTTTGGCAGGGTACCACAGAGTACTCCACTTCTGCACTCCCAGCCAGGCAGGCTTCCAGTAGCCTGATTTTAACCTCTGCCTGATCAGAACTCTAGCCCACCCCCACCCACTGGGCACAGACATCCCTTCCTTCTAGAGATGCCCCACAGACCCAGTCACCTCAATGACACCCCCACTATTGGAAAACAAACCAAACAAGGATGGATCAGGGTTTGTTTTTTTTTTCCCTGGCTGCCGCCAGGCCCCCCAAAAAATGAGCACAGAATGCTGGGGAGGGCCCAATCCTCAAGGCAAGAAAAAAGGGAAAACTTGAGTGAGATGCCCCCCACCCCACGGCCCTGTGCTGCATTCTATATTCAGGGGTGAGGGGTGGCTGAGCCCCTGCCAGCCAAGCAGGCCCAGGGCAGGGCAGGAATGTGTCATCCCAGTTGGCTGGCTGGTAGCAACTGGCCAAGCCCTGTGCTCATGAAGCCTGGAGTGGGGCCACAGAGGGAATAGGGCCGCACCTACAGTAGGAGGTGGGAGCCGGAGTCCTGGGCTGCACCTGCCACTCCGCCAGGCACTCGCGGTCCCGGTAGGCCTGCTCGCCTTCCTGGGCTCAGGTGGCCCACGCCGCTCTGGGTTCCTCCTCAGGTGAGAGGGGCACTAAAATAAAGAGGAGGGTCTTAAGGGGCACAGGGTCCTGCCAGCCCCAGAGCTGGCAGGTTCTGGTGGCTACAAAAAATCTTAGATGTGCAGGTGGGGACCACAAGGAGGCAGGACTTCTCCCAGACCCATTGGGCACCTGAGGTTTTGGTGAACCAGAGGGCACAAAGGCATATTTGTAATGAAAATCCCCCTTTGCTTGCAAGCACCTACACCCCAAAAGGGTTTAACTGATAAAAGCTTGAGGGCTGGACACTGATTCTTTTTGCATGTATGTTTTTGTTTTGTTGAAGCAGGGTGTAGACTCACAGAAATCTTCCTAAGTACCAGGATGCAGGGAGGTGTGTACTACCACACCTACCTGATTCTTAAAAGAAGGAAATCCCAGCCAGGGGCTGTGAATAGTAATGGATCAAGGTGGTGGCCCTGCCCCAGAGGGCAAGGCCTACAAACCCAAAGCTAAGCCCTGCCCCAGCCCTGCTTGGAGGCCATGGTTATGTAAGACAAGGCTCTGTAGGGGAAAGGGCACCAGTCCCAGAGTGCACCTGTACCCGCTCCTGGAGGCAGTGACTGTAGTGCCAGGCCATAGTGCCCACAGACCTCCTCTCATGTACTCTCCTACCCCCATTTTTCAGCCTGGGAAGAGAAACTTCCTGCCTGTGTCACACAATGAAGGGGATCGATTTCAAGATTTAGCAGTGTTCTGTCCCCAGAATGCTCACAACTTTGACTCTGGCCCACTTTTATTCTGCCTAGTGGTCCCTGAACATTCCTCTATCTGCTTCTGGGGGGCACATGATCTCATCTTGAGTCTCTCCTTCTGTCTCTTGCCAGGAAAAAGAATGTCAGAGGTACCACCTGACCATCACCGGCAGAACCTATACACAACTATTTAGTGGGTTGAAAGGTTTTGCCAAATGAGAACAGGAGGATGACCAGTGCCTCCCATGTTCCCTCCTAGAGCTGGTCATAGAGACATGGTAGTTGAGAAAAGCTCCAGGAAAAACAAGACAGGGAAGATGGTGGACATAGGTGACTTTAAAGGGTGGCCTTGAGAAGATACAGGGTTAGAGAGATGTAGATGTATTTGTGGGAGCCCTACAGGAGCAGGAAGTTACCAGTCCAGGGACCAGGAAGGAGCAACTCCCCACCAGCCCCATAGGAAGCAGGGAGAACATCTTGCCCTGTCTCTTCAGCTCCCAGAGCCCAGAAGTACTGGAAGTCAATGTCCCTCAGGCTTCAGGTGCTTTAACTGGCTGTTGATGGGTGACTTGAAGCCTCTATATCAGTTTAACTTCCTGTTTGGAATAAATAGCCAGGGTGGTGTCCATCCCTTGCAGCTTATAGAGTTCTGGAGAATGTCATTACCTTGTCCTCCTCCTGGATACCACCCCCAATATTGCCATAAACCTGTCCTTGCTGTCCCCCAACAATGAGGACTTAAAATGGTGGTCTCCCAGGTAAGAGATGAGCTGGTCATCAAGGCTACTCCAGCTCCAGGTTCCCTGTCTGGGTGACCACTTTGTGGTTACACACCTGCACACCTCCCAGAGACAAACTGCTATCATCAGGAAGCCCCCTAGGCCCTGCTCATCCTGTCGGCATGACAGACCTTTGGACAAGAACTCAACATCCAGAATGGAGCGGAGTTGCCAACATGCCTCTCTAGCAGGAAGCCCACAACTCTGCCAGACAGTACCAAACACAGCCCACACAGGTGTCTCCCACCTATGGCATCTGAAGCCCAGTAGCTGAGAGATTAGAGGGGTAGACTCTGCCACCAACTCTCCAGCTGAGGCTAGTCTAACTCTTGGCCTCCTCACAGATTATCCTCAATTTGTGCTCCTACTGAGAGCCTAGGGCCCTTAGCTGATCACATGCCACCTATACCAGAGTCTTGAGCCCATGCCTGCAGAGATCAGGAGCAAAGTCTGTTGTCACAGGAAACAGTAAATTGAGCCAAAGAAGTAGAAGGTTCAGCCTTGAAGGAGTGGGATCACTTCCAGGTCACAGTAGCTGAAATCCAAATAAGCCATGGCTGAGCTTCCCTGGGGCCCTGGGCACACTGCTGGTTCGGAAAGTCGGAAAACTGTTGGGTCTGACAGTTGGCCCTGACACTGGCTGGGGAGGAGGGCTCCAGTGCCCCAGGGTGTCAGTGAAGGGCAGGGACCTGATAAGGCCAGAGGGGAACACGTGCGCTTTTACTGCAAGGACAGGGCCTGAAGACCTTGAGGGCCAGCGCCTTGGGCAACTTTCCCCAACTTTGACCTCGACTGCTTCCCAAGGGGTCCAAGTTAGCGGCCCAAGGTCGCCAGGTCCCTCGCTCTTGGGTATCTGCGGCCCTTGACAGGTAGGAAGCCCCCAAGGCCCCACGTGGCAACCAGGGTCCACGCACGACAGCTGGGCCCAGAAGGAGCCAGCCAGCCTAAGCGCGCGAGCCGCCTGCGCCCCGCCCCCTGCCCGCCAGGACGCGTGGTCCTCACCAACCTTCTCCAAGGTCACCCTCCTGCCGGGCGGCCCCGCTCACCTTGCCAGGGGCCAGGGTCCCTGAGAGTGTGCCGAGGGCTGCTCGTGCGCGGGAAGAGCGGTCGGCGGCGCGGGCTGCCGGCATTTCAGGAGCTCGCCGAGTCTGCTCTCTACCTGCTGCTGTGTGGGACCTGCGGGCCGGGCGGAGGGCGCGTCAGCCGCCGCGGGCCAGCGGTCAGGACGTCCCGCCTGCCCGCCCGCCCTGCGCACCTGTGCGGCGCTGCGCGACCAGCTTGCTGGGCCCCTTGGTGATGGTGTACATGGTGCGCCGTACCGCCTGCCCCTGGCAGCGGCTAGATCAGGTAGCCTCCACTAGCTTCACTCTGCGGTCCCTGGAGCCCGGCCCCTTTAAGGATGGAGGACAGCCAGAGATGGGCGGAGCGACCCACACACGCCCCCTGCCCTTAAAGGAACCGCGCCCACTTGGTAGCCTTTACAATCCTTTAGAAAATTGGCCAAGACACTAGATTTGAGCCAGAGGCGGGGTACACCAGACTGTATTCCAGTCTGTAAGCCAGACTGTATGCCAGACTGTAAGCCAACTTCAGGTTGAAGCGCGCGTGCGTGTGTGTGTGTGTGTGTGTGTGTGTGTGTGTGTGTGTGTGTGTGTGTCTGTCTGTCTGTCTGTCTGATATTTCTGGGGAGGGAGGCTATTCGAGTGGGGGAGGGACTTCTGTGTGCTGGGGTAGTTCTCTGAGCTAGAGACCCTGTGCAAACTCTGAAATCAACAGTATTTTCGCTCATATTTGAAGCCTCTCAGCCAAGTGCTTGGACAAGCCTGGGTTGATGGGGATCATCTTTGTCTTGGGTCTGCTTAGAATGAGTGATCTAAAAGTAAAAAGGTGGCCAGGCGGTGGTGGCACAGGCCTTTAATCCCAGCAGAGGCAGGCAGATCTGAGTTTGAGACCAGCCTGGTGTACAAGAGCTAGTTCCAGGACAGGCTCCAAAGCTACACAGAAAAACTCTGCCTCTAAAAGCCTAAAGAAGAAAATAAATAAATAAATAAATAAATGAAAAAGGTGTGTTTATGTAGAATGAAGTTCCATGACTTTTGACTTTCCCCAGTGAAGAATATCAAAGCTGACCCGCAGGGAGCCTGAAAGCCCAAAACCCAGAGGAAGACCAGAGGGTATAAAACTCAGGGAGGTACCCAACCCTAATGTACTAACATTCCCCTCAAGGTTATGTCCTGAGCCTTCCTGGAGGTGGCCCCTTTGCCCAGCTACTGGGGAAGCTAAAAACCAGGGCCCCATCAGGTCTGTGGGGAGAGCCATAGGGTTTCCTAGTATATGATGATGGAAGGGAATCTCCCAGCATGGGTGGAAGCAGCCCTATCCCTCCAGCTGTCCTTAATGACTCATATGAAATGAATGCTGAGCTGAGAACTATCATATGAGGGTTTGAAATGTGTCTTCATGCGCTACTGCCACCTGGCCTGAAGAACACTGTTGCCACATTTGAAAAGGATCAGTTTGCTGGCACCAGGGACTGGGGGAGGCAGGTCTTTTTGTCAAGTCTCGGGCCACTCAAGCAAGAAGCACAGTAGGAAGGGGTGAGGTGGGTAGCTGATCCCCCTTAATCCCCGGATAGATAGCCCAAAATACCTATGTGGCTTGCCAGTGGAACTCCAGAGGACTTACACCAAAGATGGCCAAGCTGCTGTGCTGGGCACTTTGGCCTTACATTATCCAGAGTAAGGCTGGAGAACAAAAGGCCTTCCCTTCTCCAGCCCTGGGAAGACTCAGTTGAGTGTGTGACAAGCACTAGGGAGGCAGTGAGAAGTGACTATGCAGCCAAGATAGGACACCGACGATAGCCCAAAGAAAGAATTCCGCCCAAGCCCAGCTGGTGAGCCAGTGACTTTCTTGAGGTCACTTACTGAGCATATAAGAGCAGAGCCCTCTGGGAAAGCCACCACAGTGTGGGTGACAGCTCCTGAAAACTGGGTCACTGGACTTGTTCCTTCTCAGGGCTACTTCAGAGTCTCCTTTCCAGCAGCAGTTGGCTCCTGACTGTATAGTCTTTGCGGAGGAGGCTTTCCCCAAGCTTCTCAATTCTCAAATTTCGCTTGCTTCTTGAGTCTTAAGAGCTTCCCCTCCTCCATCCAGAAGGGAATGTTTCAATCCTCAGGATTGAGTACCAGGCCTGTGGCTTCAAAGGCTGAGTGGGGATGTGAGAAGAGGTTGCCTCTCCTCCCCACCCCAACCCACACCCTAAGCCCTGTCCCTGCCCAGGGAGTCAAGGCCTGGGCATGTGTGGAAAGAAAGGGCCACTTCCTGGCTAAATTTGTTCATTCCTACTTCCAAAATGCCTGACCTGCCCCCACTAGCCACCAAACTGCCAGTCCTTCCAAGGCCACTGTAGCCTGAATCTGGTGGCCTTGAGCATGCTGCTATTAATCACTCATTCATGGTAGGGAGGCAGGATAAGGTACTGGGGGCTCATGCTGGCTTTTGCAGGTTTCCCTGGAATGACAGCCATACTGAGGGCAGGGACAGGGAGGATCAGTTGGACCAAAACGAAGCACACACAGTAAGGGAGGTACAAAGCCCTGGTATGGGGTGTATACACACCATACATAACACTGACAGGAACTCTCTGGAGACAGGTCCCCTACAAAGAACTTGAAACCCCGACTACTACTACCTAAAGACTAAAGCCCAGCTTCAAACAACATCATCAGTGGAAAAACCCAGTCTTTGCTTAAATGTGGGCCCTAACTAGAGGAAGAGATATCTAGTTAAAACAGCTGCACCAGAAGTCCAAGGTTGGGTGCAGAAGCCCTTAGAGAGCTCTCAGGAAAAAAAGGGGGGAGGGCTCTGAGGCAGGCTTGTTTTGGGGGTGGGGCATAGGCAGATGAGGATGGGATGAAGAAATCTAGTGGTCCCTAAGGATCAGGAAGCTGAGGAGATGGCAGGACATGCTGGAGGGGCAGACAGCTTGTTGAGGTTTGGTCTCACTAGTGAAGTCTTCCTAGGTGCAGTAGACTACTGCCACCTGAGGATGGAGCCTTGGTGGGGTACCAGTGGCTGATGTCTGAGGGGGAGGTTATGGAAGATCACAGCCAGAGCCATAAGAGAGATGGACTAGGCCAACCAAAGAAGCAGAGTCCTGCTCAGTTCAGGGTGTGCTGAGACAAGCCACTGGTAGTGGAGAAATGTAGTGGAACTGGACACTCACTCAAGTGTTGCCCAAGCCCTGCTCTAAGCCATACCCCAAGAGGGGAGCCAGGACAAAGGCCAAGGCTAGGGGAGTGTGGGAGGACCAGAGTATTTTATGTTCCTAACAAACACAAACTCCAGGACCTGGTGCTCTCAAGGGCCCTGATAATTTGGTAATGAAGATAAACTCATTTGGAAAAGCCAAAATCAGCCAAAAAGAGCTGACACTTCTGATCTTAAAAGGAATCCAGCCTCAACAACTCTGCTCCCCATGTCTACCTAAGGAAAGTCCTTCTTACAGGGTCCAGACCATGGCCAACATTGAACATGGCCAGGCTTTCTAGGACTTAGGGATGAGTACAAAGTTTTGTACCTAAATCACTTTCTATTAAAACTTGTATTACCAACCTAAAATTATTTTTTAGACCTTAAAACATTTTTTAGATAAACAACTTAAGCTTTTATGTCTCTCAACCTTTACAAACTTTACATCTCTTTTGTGAGCTTATTTTCTGAATTTAGTAACAAAAAAAAAAAAAACTGTAAAACTATAACTATCTAGGTGGTGGCACATGCCTTTAATTCCCGCACTTGGGAGGCAAAGGCAGGCAGATTTCTTGAGTTCAAGGCCAGCCAGGTCTACAGAGCTACACAGAGAAACCCTTACTGGAAAAAAACAAAACAAAACAAAACAAAAAAAAAAAAAAAAAAAAAAAAAAACCACACACACACAACTACAACTATTTAGTCTTTAACCTCATCAGAGGATAAATTATTACTTGAATAAACAGGAAACAATTTCCAAAAGGTGCCTACCACCACCATTCTGTGACAAAGTTTCTAATAAATGTGTAATTACAGATGCTGACCTGAAACAGCAGACTTGAAATTGAGAGGTCCCTAAGGTGGTTCCCACCAAGGGGAACCTTGTTTGTCCCTTGTTGATATGCATTCATTAACCCAATGCTGACCTTTGCCACGCCTTCTGCATACTCCAGAAGGCTGGTGTCTTCTTTTTGAATTATCTCTAAAGAAACATTGTTTCTAGGAACGCCTTACCTATAATCCCTTTTGAATTGACTTTGCTTGCCAAGGCAGAGGCAGGTGGATCTCTGTGAGTTCAAGGCCAGCCTGGTCTACAGAAACCCTGTCTTCTCAAAAAATCAACAAACAAACAAACAAAACAAAAAACACGAACAAAAAGAGCATTCTAAATTAGCATTTTTTTTCTTTCTTTCTTCCTTCCTTTCTTTCTTTTTTCTTTTGGGAGACTTGAGTTTCCCTGTATTGTTTTTAAACCAGTCCCGGCACTGGCCTCTGTAGATCAGGCTGGCCTCGCCTCCTGAGTGCTGGGATTAAAGGCGCGCACCACCAATGCCCAGCCTCTGAATTAGTATTTTCAGAAGCCAAGGATTTAACTAATATTTGTGTGACTTCTGGATCTGATACTATTTTATTTACACCTGGGGTCAATCTTTGCAAAAAAAAAAAAAAAAAAAGTGAAGGTTTTATTATTTTATTTGGGGGGGGGGGCTTGTATAGTTTTAGTAAATGACTGAGACCTCTTTCCAGATTATTCAACCATATCCACATTCACACCCCCAGCCACCCCTGTTGACTGGACACACTTTAAACCGACATCTCAACAGCAGCCCCAAGCAAGAGTAGCCCATGTAAACTTTGAACTAGCTACTGACAACTGCCAATGAACACCTGGGGCATTTCTTAAAATCCAGACACTCTGTGACATGGATGCCCCCAAAACCCGCGCGCGAGCCAGTTGATCACCAGTAAATTACCCTTGTCTATTCTAGCATTACATTTCACTTGTCATTGACCGCTTCGTGTTATCTATCCATGGACCTCGAGCTGGTGCCAGCTGTCTCAGCGTCACCCAAAGCTCATCTGAGCTCCAGCAGTCTGTCCCAGACTTGGAGTCCTGCGACTAGGACCTCAAAGCTCCACTGTGTAGCCACGATTTACGACCACGCCCTCAAAGCCTGACCACTGCCTCTTAGCTTCCAAGGGCTCGCGACTGCTATGGTTTCCACGGAGCAGAACAAAATCCCGGCTGTCTATAAACCTCGCGTTCCCCACCTTTTCTCCTTTCCTTCGGACGCCAGCAGCACTTTGTTTGGAATTTGGTGGGCTATGATGTCCTGCAAACCTTTGCCAACTGAAAACTGTAGCGCAATAGAAAAGACGCATGCGCAATGCTTTGCATTGGCCAGTGTACGTCACCCTTCGTATATCATGTGGACTATCCCGTCGCTCAACAGCGCCGCTGGTGTAGTGGTATCATGCAAGATTCCCATTCTTGCGACCCGGGTTCGATTCCCGGGCGGCGCAGATGTCTCTTTTTCTGTTGATCTTAACGTTTTCCATAAAAAGGTGTGGCACAAACGTAACAAACTTTTAGTGTGACAGACACGCTGAAAACACTGGTGCTGACAAGGTGCTGGAGCTTAGAAACTCCAGTAAACCACAGGCCTTCGCAAGATCCTCGATACCTACAGCCAAAGCCCAGCCGCTGGACCATGCTGGAGACCCCTCAACTCCTTAGTGGGTCCGCACCGGCCGTTACCCTGTAGCAGGAGCCTGAACTGATCGGTACGACCACAACTCCCGTAGTGCCCTGCACAGAAGCTGGACTACATCTCCCGTCATGCGCCGCGCACATTCTTAGCTGGGCTGGCAGCACCGCTACGATGATGGTGGCTGCGGCTGCTGAGCGAAACAAGGAGCCCATCCTGTGCGTGCTCCGCCAGTATATGGATCCTGCCCGGCGCGGCGTTCGCGTGCTCGAGGTGGCCTCGGGCTCCGGCCAGCATGCCGCGCACTTTGCGCATGCTTTCCCTCACGCCGAGTGGCAGCCTTCAGACGTGGACCAGCGCTGCCTGGACAGGTGCGGCGGCGCGGTGTCTCCAGCTTGCGCCGGCTTGGGACTGAGCGAGCGGCGGGGCTGGCGGAAGGGAAGACAGGGCGGGACAAGGTCTGGGTGGTGGACTGAGAAAGTGGAGGCGACCAGCTGCAGGGCCGACAAAGCTACCCACTGAATGTTCCTAAGGACTTAGCCCCCGAGTCACTGGGTCATTGGGGGGGGGGTTCCTCGCTCATGCGCTGCCCTCCACAGCATTGCCGCCACCACCCAAGGGTTGTCCAATGTGAAGGCCCCGCTGTACTTGGACGTCACCTGGGAGTGGAAGCAATGGGGCGGGATACCGCCGCAATCGCTGGACCTGTTGCTCTGCATCAATATGATCCACATCAGCCCCCTGAACTGTACTGAGGTGAGGACCACTGTGGAGCATAGCTTTCATATTACAGGCAGGAAGGCCTGAGTCTCAAGCGCCCAGCTTACCCTGCCTCCCTCTCTTCAGGGACTCTTCAAAGCAGCAGGACAGCTGCTTAAGACCAAAGCTGTGCTGATCACCTATGGGGTGAGTGACTCACCCTACCTTTTAAGAGGTCCCTAGCAGCCTTAGGTGTTTTCCAGTCTCTCGTTGCCCTGAGGCTGGGTTCTTGCCCTTTTCTTTCTTGGGAGCAGAAAGAGGGTGTTCTTTGCACATTCTGAATCCCAGACTGCAAATCAGTCCCATGGGAACGACTGACCTTGGGCCTGTGCGCCGTGTCTCCTTGTTCACACAGCCCTTTGCAGTCAATGGGAAGATCTCTCCCCAGAGCAACGTGGACTTTGACTTGACCCTCAGATTCAGGTCAGACCTGGGTGAGAGGAGGTTTGGCTCAGAGGGCAGGTGGCCTGGATGCTGCCCTCAGTTCTGCCCTCCCTCTTTGAATGCAGGAACCCAGAGTGGGGTCTTCGTGACACAGCTCTCCTGGAGAAACTAGGCCAGGCCAGTGGCTTGGTCCTGGAGAGGATGGTAGGTAGGGCGGTGTTGGGGTGGGTAATCTCCTTGTGACTAAGGGCCACTCCAGTAATGCATTTTTCCAGGTGGACATGCCAGCCAACAACAAGTGCCTGATTTTCCGGAAAGAATAGACTATTCCCTGCCTCCCATGTGCCTACATCTTTGTCAAGGGTTCTGCCATAGTACAAACTAGATTTCAGCCCCTCCCTCACTGAATCACTTCTTTCGATAAATTAACCCCTCCTAGTCTGGTGGCCACAGGGCTGCAGAGAACCTGGGTCCAGTGGGCCTTGAAATAAAGACTTTCCAGCCCACTGTGGGGCATCTATATCACACTGCTGGCTGGGGATCCTGGAGGAGGGTAAGAGGGGCTTGGTCTGAGGGTGTGGGAGGTGGCTGAAACAGGATTGAGCTTCCCTGTTTCCTGGAGGTCTGTAGGAGGGCCCCCAAGAGGGACTTGGTGCTGCTTGGTCACCTCAAACAGAAACTGGAGCTCCATCTACTCACAGGGCTCCAACTGAACAGACAGGTGATGGGGGCTGCAGTTAGAAGGGAACCAGAGGCTATGAATCCCACAGGTGCAGACATTTATTATGAATCCCACAGGAAGGAGGGCAGGAGTGGGAATTATGGATAAAGCTAGTCTTGGAAACGGTTGAGCAGTTCACAAGCCTTCTTCTCAAGCAGCTCTGCAATCTTCTTGACTCGCTTCTCACTGGCAGCACGGACATAGCTGTTGGCATCCAACATGGCCACACCTTCACGAACCTCACCCATGATGACCAGTGGCCCATCACCAGCTGTCACATTGGGGCATGGGCAGGCCCAGTCCATGCCACTCAATGTCACTTCCAGGTATTTGGTACCCAAGAACTTGAGGCCCATCTTGTCGTCTTTGAGCACATCATCTAAGGCCACGCGAGCAATGCCACTGGCAGCCTCAGGCTCCTCCAGTACCTCTGTGAGTCGACCCACAATGGCAAAATCACTTCGGCACAAGCTCAAAGCCAGCTTGCTCTTGAGGCGGCAGGCACGACAGGGTGGTGTGCGCGGTACAGGGCAAGCATCTTCACAGCTCTCCCGACTCTCAAAGTTATTGCTATTGCCTTCACAGCCACTGTATATAAAGGGGTGGCACTGTTGCAGCAGTGGGCTGTAGGCCCAGCGTGGCTCCCAACCCTGGCAGGGGCCCTGAACTGCAGGTAGTGCACAGGCATCCCCAGGACCACGGGCACAGGCCTGTTGGCATGCCTCATAGGTCTCAAAGCCCCGGGCAGCCCCATCACATTTGAGGGCTGGGAAGGTCATGCAGCTGCCTCGCTGTGGGTCAAAGCGCCAAAGGACATGATGAGGGGTGGGGGGCCCAACACAAACATGTGTGTCAGGCTGGCACTCAGCCAGGGCCTGGACACCTGGGTCCCTGTCCTGAGTATTTGCCCGCTGCAAAACAGAGAGGGGGAAGTCAGCCCGTAGCAGGCCAGCAGCATTTCGTGCAGTGCAGGTATATAGGCCTGCATCATCCAGCTGGGCATTGTAGAGCACGAGCTGCCCAATACTGGTGACAACCACATTGCCATACATTTGGTCAGGGCGCATGATCAGGTTCTCCCGCTGATGACTCTGCTTCTCCCAGGTCACAGCAGGTGGCGGACGCCCACTAACATCACAGTGGAGGCTGGCTGTTCCCCCAACATGTACTGCCTGTGGTGAGGGACTGCTGTACAGGGCAGGTGGCATGGGAGCAGCCCCAGGGGTTGGTCGAGCAGTGGTCTCAGGTGGTCCTGGGCTGCTGGGTGGCCAGCTGAGAATGTGCTTGCAGGGAACAACATGCAGGTGGAGGCCCCGCAGGCAGGCCTCCGCATCCATGTAGCAGCGGTTGTAATAGGTGAGGCCGTCAGAAGCACAAGTGAAGCTGGGTTCTTTCTCACAGCGGTCACGGCAGCGGCAAACTGGCTGCCCGTCCCAGATGTCACAGTCAGAGCCTTGTTGTGGGCACTGGAAGCCTTCACAGGAGGCTGCTGTCTCAGGTACAGCTGGGCCACCACTGGGGAAGCGGGCTGCCACGCAGCTCTGCAGCCCACATACATTGGTGCAACACTTCTCAGATGCTGCACAGTCCTGAGGGACAGGGGCAGTTTAGTGGAGCCCTGACCCCTTCCCAGTCTTGCCCATGCACTACCCTGCTCTCTACCCTGGGAGAAATGGCTGCCTCTCCCAAAGCTTGCTTCCCAGTATGAGCAAGGCCACACTGTGTCACCTTATTCACCCCCCCCCCATAAAAAGCAGGCCTTATTAGCACCCCCCATTGTGCAGATGGAGGAGTATGCAAGCAGCTGCTCTGCCACTCAGGGAGCTCTTTGTCCCCTTCCCAGTCTGGGATATAAAAAAAGGACCACAGGAAGGGCAGGGCAGGGCAGTACCATCTGCAGGGGTAGGTCAGAGGCCTGGATCCACATGACTTAAAGTGGTGCTCAGGCAAGTTAGAGACAGAGCTGGTGAGGATGGGTCAGTCCAGGGATTGGAGATGTTTTTACTCTTCAGACAGGTGAGGGCATAAAGGTGGCTGGAGGGGGGAGGTATCCTTGACCACTTGTACAGGTCATGGCCTCAAATCCAGGTAAGTATGGAGAAACCTTGTAGAAAGCGGGCTCCTAGGGTTGGGGTCTACACCCCCCACTGAGGAAAGAGCTGGGATGGGGCCCAGGATCCCATGAGATGCCAGTGCTCACCTGGTCCCTGGCGCACTCACGCTCACAGGTGCTCTGGGCGTCCACCCACAGGTGGGGGCTGAGCTGGTTGGGGCACATGCCAGGGTGGCTTCCAGGCTCTGGCAGCAGGTTGGTCTCCGAGGTCAGATGGATGAGCCCGAAGACAAAGAGCAGAGGCAGGAGTGGCTGTGGGGCAGGCATGGGGACCACAGGGCCAGGGGGTAGGAGTGTGTGGCCACCAGCCACTCTTGGAGCCAGGACTCCCTACAGGCATCCACCTTATAGGGTCCTGGGACTAAGATTGCTACCCCTGCCACGAAGGACCCTGTTCTGTGACTCTCTGGGCCCCCACCCCCTAAAAGCTGGAGCCCACAGCTGATGCTTCTTTCTGGCAATGTGACTAGGTATTCTAGGGTCTCTCAGAACCTCTCCACAAAGTACTAGCTGACCCCCTCCCAACCAATGTGGGTGGCTCCCAGGCTCTGGTCAGCATAGGACTGGGAATGGAAGAGGAAAGGCTGGGGAGGGGCTAGAGGCCCTGAAGCTCAGAGCAACTGACCACTAGGGTCACCAAGGGGCGGAGAAGGGCCGGCTAAATCAGGGAGGGGGATGCTGTAATCCGAGCCCCCCCCCATAAGCTGAAGCCCAACAAGGATCAAAGTCTCCTTAAAGACCCTCCCACTATCTACTTAGGGAGGAGGGGCAGGGCTGGTAGGTTTCTGCTTTTGTCCTCAGCCAGTCTCCAGCCCTAGCTGACTACTAGCCTAGGTTTTCTCCAAAGGCTACCAAGGATGGTACCTATCATAAGTATAGGTAAGACACATCTTCACCTGGCAAGTGGTAGAGGTCCTGTTCTTTCAGGACCTTCAAGTGTCACACTTGCCAACAGGTTTTGGCACAGAACAAAAACCCTGCTAGGATACCTGGCATGGAAGTACACACCTGTAATCTCAGCGCTGAGGAGGAGGTGGTGGCAGGAGAATCCAGATTGAGGCCAGCCCAGAGCTACATAGACAGCCTCGTTACATAAGGAGACATTGTCTCTAAAAACACAAAGACAAAAAACAACAAAAAACCCTGTCAGGCTTTGGCCATTTTACCAGGTGAGGGCACAATTCACCAGGATGTACCCTCCCATAGCCAAGTTGCTATGTCACTCAGCTCCCTCAAATAGGCAAGGCAGTACAAAATAAAATGTCTACCTTAGCTAGGTGGTGGTGGTGCATGCCTTTAATCCCAGCACTCTTGAGGCAGAGGCAGGTGTATCTCTGTGAGTTCAAGGCTAGCCCGGTCTACGGAGTGAGTTACAGGGCAGACTCCAAAGCTACAGAGAAATCTTGTCTCCAAAAAACAAAAATCAAACAAACAAAAAAAATGCTACCTTGCCTGGGTGGAAACTGACGATCTATGTGCACTGACCAAAGATAGTCTTATGGCAGTGACTGCGGTACACAGTATAACAGTATAAACAAGGGCACAGAGAACCCACCACACATAGGGCTAGGTATGTGGTTGCCTCAAGGGATGGCCAAGAGCAAGCATCCTAGATAGATGTTGCTCAGGGATCTAAGTATATTAATACCTTGCCCCAACAACCCATCATGAGGGCTAGCATCCATTCTTTAACTGAACTAGAGGCTCCACCGTGGGGGAGGGCAGGGAGATCAAAGCTGGTGGCAAGACAAAGGGCCTGCCTGGAATCTTCCATTCCAAACCCTTTCTGTGGCTCCAGAGGTCCCCAGGGAGTGGTTTTCTCAGAGGCAGGAAGGAAAAAGTCTGTGCGACCCTTTGTCTGACCTTCTGACCCAGGAGGCAGGGTAATAAGAGCCTGGTCTGGCCAGAAGATCAAGAGATGACTACCAGGCGCCAGTGTCTGCTGCCTTACAAAAGAGCTGTGGGTGAGCTCTGACTCCTGGTGATAAGGGGGCAGGGATGCTCCTGAGGAAAAGTGCAGGTGGTACTTAAGCCAGAGGCCATGTTTAAAGTGAACTGTACTGTCCCACTCAGCTTTGCCTTCCAGTGTATCAGACACAAACCTAGCTGAGCAGGGCCCTGCAGAACCCCATAACTGCTAGATGTTTTCCTTCAAAAGATACCAACTCCAGGTCCCACTTGCAGATGGTCTTGAAACTGGTAAACTATGTGAGATGGTCTGCTATGGGCTATGAGCAAAGGCTCTGTGAATAGTACGGCTGCCTGATGCTAGCCTGGCCAGAATCAGACCCCATGAAACAGTGTGACCTGTAACCAGGCCTGGATACTTTGCAGCTGGGAATGTGAACCCAGTGGATGGATAGCTGCAGGTCACCAAGGTCAGCTGCAGGGGACAGTTAACAAAGCCTGGGATCATTCTGGCAGGCACAAAGCGGTGGCTCCTATGGCAGAGCACACTTCCAGACACCCCTCACCACCCCCAACAAACCACAGCCCAATCAAGTT